GAAAACCAAACCTTATAATTCATACATATAATTATTTATATTGAATAAAATAATGAAATGAAAATCTAATAAAATACATAATTTTATGGAATAGTCAAACACAGCATTTTCGAATGTAATTAATTTAATCCAGAAAGAACAAGATTAATTCCTCTTTACTGAAGTGGTAAATACAAGCACATAAGTGCACATATCCTAAGTGCACTTAAAGTAATTAGAACAGCTTTGAGGCGCTAATGAGTCGCATGTCCTTGTTGTCGATAAACGAACAAAACACTTAATTAAGATTTTAATTTTTCTTCTGTTTTCTTTCTCGCAATAAAAGTATCCTTCGACCTATAAATGTCAACAGGCTGTCAAAGCTGTTTTGTTGTAATTATTTTTGCTGCAACCAAGTACTGTAGATACTTACGTGCAGTTGGTTAATTTTTGGCTACATTTGTTATTATTGTGTCAAGAGAGTAGATAAAAAGCAACATAAAAATTATGTTTGATGTGAATTCCCTTGGACTTGTAGCAAATCGAGTGTATAAAGCAGATTTAGTTGGCAATTTCGAAAATTTAGAATTTTGGCAAAATGCAGACAGCACTGAGAGAGTCATTTATCATTTGTCTGGCATCAATCAAGTTAAAAAAAATGAGCTCAAAGAAAATTCTTTTTAAGTTAAATGCCAGCCTAATTGATTGAAAAATATCAATGCTGAAATAAATAAAAATGTTTTAGTGAAATTAGTTGAAATATGTTGGAATTTTGATTGAGAAGGTATTTTTTCAAGGAGTAATTTTTTGTGGTACAAATTCTAAATAATTAATTTTTATTTAATTTATTTTGTGTACTTTTTTGTATATCATTATATCATTTGTGTATCATCATTTCTGGTATTAAAAATTTAACCATTTAACTGGAAATGTTCTTAAGCCTACCAAAAACAATAAAGTTACCTTATTATGGACTAATAATTTCTTAAATTTAAATGTAATCATTTAATATCTACAGATCCCATTTAAGCTTTCATCTTTTTATTGCCTGCATAAATCCATTACAAAAATGTTGCATTTTTTTTCTATAATCATCCTAAAAACGTTTTCTTTCATGGCTTAAAAGAGTTTTCCAGTCTTTAAGTTTTTACAGCAATTGTGTGCATAAATTCTTTCATCTCAGTTAACAAGTCCCACGTATTTATATCAGTGATGTTTAAGATGTCAGTGTGATATATTAGAGCGTCCGGCAACGTGGCTCCATAATTTTACAAATTTTTTAGCGTTTGCCATTCTTGCCCTGCGGAAAAAAATGGTAAAATATTAACTCGGATATATTAAGGAAAAGAATTGTAAAATTTTTTCTACATAATTTTATTGCTTCAACTAGCACTGCTGATACAGTTGCATTTTATTGTCCGCATTACCATTCAAACTGGGTTAAATTTTACGAGGTTAGAGAAGGAATTTGCAATAGCTGCTCGCTATAATCTATAGCGAGACCTTTTGAAGCATAATTTTTACTTTGTCATTAATATAATAAATGACTGTAAAATAATTCTTTAAAAATTTTTTATTTCAGTTTTGCTCAAATGTCACTATAAAAAATATATCAAAATAGTAAAAGTAGGTGACCTTCTCTTCCATTTAAGTCTCAAAACAGCATGTACTTTGAATCATAAATTATTTTTATTGTTCATTTCTATAACTTATAGAAACATATTTGGACTTTAAATTAATTTGATTACTCAATATAGCTTTTATTACTCAATATATATTATAATAGTTTTTATTTTTTCTTTCCTCAAACTTTTATAATCGTTTCACATACTTTTTTTTACTCATAAAAGAATTCAACAAATTTGTATTAAATTTGCACCAATAAATTTTAATAATTTTTTCATAAAATCTGCCACTTATCTTGCAATTCCACCAAACGTTCTTCATTGCATCCTTGCATGCTTGTGGCTTTATATCCTTCTAGAATTTAGTCTCCTCCATTCACGCTCACTTAACTGCTTCACTTCAGTTTTCTTAACAATTGTGAGGCAATAAATTGTACTTAAGTTCCTTATAGTGCACTTTCACTTGCACTTTCAACAAGTGTATCTGCTGCCAGTTTTGCCATTGTTGCATATTTTTTATGGCATCTATTTTTCTCCATAACCTCCGCATTTCCCGTTCATCTTTCAACCGTTTATTTTCTGCATTAAACGAAGAATAAGTCAACATTTTAAGCCATTTTAAACTTGTTAAGGCTATAAAATTCTTAAATCTACATAAAAATATTATATCGCTTTTTATATCTCAGATATTAAATTACTCGTAACCGACAGTTCCGCAGATTTCTGAAAACACTGAGTATAAAATAAGGAGTAGGGATCGCAAACTACTGAGAAAGAATTTTGTTCAATTTTTTTTTAATATTTTAGATAAGCTGTATTTGGAATTCAATGAATTTTTGATTAATATTTAATTAAAAGTGTAACAATTATTATGGTAATATATTTCATTATAATAATAAAAAGCAAGCCTGCATTTTATTTTGCTATATCTTTTCTGTTTAGTTTTACTTAGTCGATTTCATAAATTTTTCTATGCCTTTTCAATTCCAAAATAAAGTTTTGTCGTACTCTGTGAGACAAAAATAAAGGCTTCTTATCTCTGTTTTGGCTTCTTATCCAATTTCTGGATATTTTAGGTCTTCTGACTCAAATTTGTATTCCTACGCTTCTAGATTTCTCTCAATAATAACAAATTAAAATTCAGAAATTGATGTTTCAAAGAGTTAATTATAGATTTTTATTTGAATAAATGCATATTTAGTATTTTCAGCAAAAATATTTATAAATTTCATTAGCTAATTGTCTTAAACCATTTTCTCAACTATCTTATAAATAAAGAAGAACTGTTTAATATAAATAAGTAAAGTGCAATGTACCAAATCACAAAGCTTTAAAGCAAAATTGCTTCTGGTTTAGAAGCAGAATATATTTTCATCCATACATATTTATATTAATATTTTTAATTTTATTTTTAACTATTTTGTTGTTATTTTATAATGCCATCATTTTTCTGTTTTCATTTTTTTTGTCATCCGCAACATATTTTTACCAACCCCAAGAATGAAGTTACCAAATTAGAGTATGGTATGTTGCGAAATATGTGCAAATATATACAGGGTATACTCTTTTAAAATTTCGCATATTTATTATGTGATTCTAGAAAACCCAGAAAAACCAAAAAAATCGTGAAGGTCGATTTTTCATATTAAGTAAAATTGTGTTTGGAAATTAAATCTTCGCTAAAGTAAAAGAAAAACTCTAATGAATTTAATTTTTGTTCATTAAAGAGAGGTGTTGTTCCAGAAATGTGAAAAACAAGTGATTTTCGAAAAACTGTCCACCTAAACGGACTGTTCATTTAAAAGGAGTATTTGTCAGAAATATCTTCGTTGTGATGTCCTATGGCACTGTTTCAGTGACATAGATCGAACAGAATATATATATATTATATATTTAGGGTAAGGTTCACTATTTCGCAATATTTTAGACGATAAAACATGTTTTCATGTTACACTGTGAACACCAAGGAAGTGATTCTGTAGTAAGTACATATATGTATACATATATATTTCGCAACGAGTCTTCTTCGTTGATGATGTCCATTTTGCAATAAAATCCTTAAGTTGCTATCGACTATATGGTGTGACATAAACGATTTAGTTTTATTTTAAGACTTCAATTATTTTACTGAATTACTGGCAAAAAACTTTCCGTTAGTATTAAGTTTGTCTTAAAATGTATGAGAGACCGATATCAGCCTTATGACCACAGTTTCAAAAACAATATAATATATTAAAAATTGTTTCAGAGAATAACATATGCAATGAAAAATACAAATACAAATTTTTTGGTTTTTCGCATTTTCATTTCCTGAATCAAGCCAGAAGCAAACACCCTATTTATAACTATGGACTTTATTAAATATATTTTTTCAATTTATTAAATTTGTTTTTATAAAAGATATTTGATATTGTCTTGAATTTTTATAAACAATAATAAACTGAGAAATTTGTCGGAATCAAATGCCAAGCTTGACTACAGGCTACTTGGCATTAAAATTTGTGGGTGGTTTTTTTTTAATTAAAATTGAAGCTAAAATTTTTAAATTATTTTAGTACTATTCTTGTATCCTAACTCCAAAACAAATTTATGTATATAGAATTTTTTTCTTATTTATTAAAAAAGTTTTGCTATTAAATATGTTAAGCTGACAAGACAAGAAGTGTTAATTTCAAAACAAATTTACACAAAAGTAAGTTTTACTTAATAAAGTTTAAATCAAGCGAATTCTACAGAAAACTCGTAAGAATGAATAAAATAACTAAATATAAAATCAGATAAATTTTATTATAAAAAATAAAGAAATTTATTTATTTAAATAACTGCAAAGCCCAGTACTTACATACATAACTCGTACCGAAATTCTATAAAAATCTTTACACAAAGCGAGCTGTAAACTGTAAATATTACAGCATGAATATGAATGTGATTGGCTATGGCATGGAGTATATATGAATAAAGTAAGAAATCATAAATAAGAGCATTTCCGTTTCCCTTACTAGTTCTGCTTTGCTTCTTTCGATACTGCTACTAATGCCTTTAAGTTCGTTTTACGAGTAAATATATTAACACAGCCACGCGCCTCTTCACAATTTTCAATATAAAAAACTGTAAAACAAACCAACGAAGAGAAAAAATACTTACTATGGAGGCATTGGTAAATACGCACTGCAACGGTACCAACGACACCAACGCCACCAACGACACCAATGGCATTAACGTCACTATGGGAAAACAGCTTCGCACAAACCGCACACAAGAAAGCCATGGCGTTGTTTAATAAAATTAATGTAAGGCCTTCATTTCTCTTTTCGGTTTTATAATATTCAGAACTTTATTTTTTCTATTATGCCCACACTAAGCCAATTTTTGGTGGCCTCATTTCCGGTCAAGATAATGACGTTAAGTGGCGCTGCCCATGATGAAGTTGATGCTTATGCTACGACAGCTGCTGCTACTGCTACTGTTGCTGCCTATGTTAATAATGATGATTAGTGCGAACATAATGGTGGGCCCTTGTGTTGCGCTGATAAGTGGCGCTAGTAAATAACATTATTTCTCAAGTATGGCTAGTGTTAACAGTTTTGTTGTTGTTGTAGGTTAACAACCATATTGGACTTTCCTCTACAGCAAATAGTAATAAAAAAAAAGAAACAATATTTCGAAATTGTATTAGTATTTTTGTTCTTTTTTTCGTTTGCAGTGCCGATTGTTTTATTTATATTAATTCTTTGACTTGTGCGTCCTTGGGAAAGTTCAAATATCCCTGCCTGCTGTTGTTTCATTTGTTGTTGTTTTATTATTGTAATATGATAGTTGTTTTTGTTGTTGTTGCATTTTTTATTGTGTTACATTCTTGAATGTAATTTAAATTTATTAGCTTTTTATATGCCCATTGTTATTGTTTTTTATACGTAATAATTATGAGTTATGTTAACAAATTGGCATTTGTGAACTTTGTTAATATTTTTTAGCCATAACAAGTCCATATATAATACATAAATTTTTGTGTTTAAGCAAAATGAGTTAATTTACCATAAGTAATGTAAACTAGAAATGTCATTGTGATTCTTATAATATAGGATAAAGCAAAAAGGATTTGATATATAAAAACTATATTTGAATTTGACGGACAATAAAACTTTACTCAGATTTCGTCTAAAAAGTTCTCTTTTAGGATATGTAAAATTTTAAATAATATGCAGTATAATTTACAATTCTTCCGTTAATACTGTTTATATCGATCATACCCTATCGTAATTAATTGTAAGGAAGTGGTTTGCTCACACTCGTTCCGGAACTTTTTCTCCTTCTGACCAATCTATCTGCCAGAAAGCGCATTAATTACGAATAATTGGCATATGAACAGTCTCTATCATGCATAAAGCAATGAAATCGCGGAAATAGTGGATAAAATTTAAAAGGATTTTCGTGTGATGAGTCACATCAAAGCTTTAGATCAACTACTAATCTGTTTTAACCACAGATACCTCATGACCAGCCTATCACCGAAAAGGTCCTAGAAAGTGTGAATAAGGTTTAAAATGGTAAAATCAATTTTAATTTTTTATTAGAGATACTGAATGGTCGAGTAGCTCGTAAATTGACTGCAAAAAAATAATGATTGATGTTCTATTAGCGAATAGCTGTTGAAATAAAATGTAGTCGATTCAGTATGAACTTATAAAAACGGATGATGAATATACGATACTATTGTGTTAAAAGACATTGAAAATACTGTAACTTTCTCTTAAGAAGTAGTTAAAAAAATTTCATCGAGAATCATCGAGAATATGAAATATTTATTAAAAAAATTTAAGTTTTTGTTTTTTACGTGTTGACATATGCTTGTCTTATATATATATTTCTTCTGTACGTGTGTTGACAGTGAACTCCTCCTAAACGGCTGAACCGATTTTGATGAAATTTTTTGTGTGTGTTCAAGTGGATTGAAGGAAGGTTTAGATTCACAATTTGGCCCACTGGATAATGTCTTTTTATATAATTTTTTATTTTTTGGTTTCCATGTACATTTATATTAGAAATTTAAAATTTATTCATGCTTACTTTGATTTGTTTAAAAAGTTTAAAATCTCTATAATGAATCGTAAAACTGCCGTTGCATAGCTTAAATGCATTTAAATTCCGCAGTATAATTATAGGGAGCCAATTTTTAATCTTAAGTTATGTGGTGGTATTCCTGGTAAATCCAGCGAATTCAAAAATTCCACAGGATAGTTGAACGATTCATTTTAGAGTTTAAACTTTTTAAACAAATCAAAGTAAGAATGAATAACTTTTAAATGTCTAATATAAATGGACCAAATTGTGAATCTAGACCATCCTTGAATTCACTTGAACACACACAAAAAAGAAAAATTATATATATAAAGATATAAATAACGTACAAAAAACAATGCCACGTCTTCGTGGACAAGGAGAAAATATTGGTCGAGCGACTCTGAATTCACAATTACTCCAGAACCGTCGGTTAAATAGATCGGCAGAAAACAATGAGAATGTAAAAAACCAGGATACAATCACACGTCTTAATGAAAGTCAAGAGCAACGCAAATAACGCCTTCGAGCTAATGCATTGAGACAAAGACTGGCCCGTCCACGAGTCACCGACATATTCAGAACACGTGAACAACAGCGTTTGCAAGTGTATCGGGCATTGACACGTTCATCATTTCATCACCTTGCGTTTGAATATGAGTCGGTTATCGACTATTCGTCACATTCACGAATTGTAATCGGTGCTATGAACAAACAGTGCCAACACTGTCATACACTCAAATACAAAGGTGAATCGGCCGGTTTCTGCTGCACATCTGGAAAAGTTGTATTGCCACCATTGAATTTGTCGCCAAAACTATTGAAAGCACTATTGGCTGGAGCTACATCTCAATCTAAATTGTTTTTTCGTAAAATTCGCAAATTCAATTCGTGCTTTTAAATGACATCATTTGGAACAACAAAAATCGTTCAGAATGAGATTGGTCGCAATTTTCAATCAACGCTTAAGATTCAGGGCCAAGTGTATCACCAAATTGGTTCTTTAATGCCGATGCCCAATAATGATCCCAAATTTCTGCAAATCTACTTCATGGGTGATGAGAAGCAGCAAA